TATATATATATAAAACAGCATCCTTGGCTAGGTAATCTCATACCTAACTAAAATGGTTTTCTAAAATCCAAAATGCCTAAGGAAATGATACAGAATATTTGCTTGGGATTATTCCACAGAACAAAATTCTAAGGCTTAATAAATATTTTTATGTTTTAATAAATCGCAGCCCTGGGGATTGAGGGAAAATTTATGCCTTAAGTTTCCCATTTATATTTTCTGTCTGCACTTCAATTTTTAGCTCGAAGACGTGATGTCCATTTGTCAAAAGAACAGGAAAGCCGCCTACCCTCTCACTGGCTGAAAAGTAAAGGGGCCCACACTACCATGGCAGATGCTCTCTGGCGCCTTCGGGATTTGATGCTCCGAGATACTCTCAACATTCGCCAAGCATACAATCTAGAAAACCTTTAATCACATCATTTACGTTTCTTTTATAGAAGCATAAAGAATTTTGTGGAACAGTAGCCATTTTAGTTACTGGGGGTGGGGGGGAAGAACAGAGGATGATAATTTTTATTGAATTTTACTGTACATCACAAGGCCATTTTTATATAAGGACACTTTTAATAAGCTATTTCAATTTGTTTTTGTTATATTAAGTTGACTTTATCAAATACACAAAGATTTTTTTTTTTGCATATGTTTCCTTCGTTTAAAACCAGTTTCATAATTGGTTGTATACGTAGACTTGGAGTTTTATCTTTTTACTTGTTGCCATGGAACTGAAACCCTCAAAGGTTTTGTTTTGGCTTTGGTTTTGTTTTTTGGGTGTTTATATATATATATATATACTATATATATATATATACTATATATATATATCACATGTAAGATATATATATACTATATATATATCACATGTAAGATATATATTATATATATATATATATATATATATATATAAAAACAAAATAGAAAAAAATACACACACATAAGAGTTTACAGATTAGTTTAAGTTGACAATGAAATGTGAAGCTGGTCCTAGTTTACATCTTAAAGAGGGGCTTGTACTTGTGTCTGTTTCATGTGCCTGAGTATCTTAACTCACTTTCACAAAAGCTGTTTCTTACAGGTACAGTGAAAGTTCAGTTCACTTGAAAAGTTGTTGTATAGGTACAGGTGTTTGGCAAACAGGGCACTTTGCTGCATTGCACTTGCTACAGAAGTCCATGCGTGCTGTAATCCTTCCGCAGCTAGTGCTTCCTCCGGACAGCTGGAGGGAGAGAGCACCTTTTTTTTGCTGAGTTAGACGTTTCTGGTGTCAGTTATTTTTGCAGAACATGTGCACAGCCCTGAATTATATTTAGTTTCAGCAGGTAAGTGTAAGGGTACTTTTGATCTATTTATGATGAATTCACAATTTATGCCTACACATGATTTAAAATTTTAAATCTCTTACATTGGAAAATGAAGTTCATCTTGAAGAAAAACTGAAGTATGCTGTGCATGGAGAAGATTTTGTTTTAAATATAACACCTAACCTAACATAGGGAAGGGAATTTATATCTGGATATGAATTGTATCAGAAGCATAATTGTGAAAGGGTAGATTATCTGAATATGCAAATATGTTTTACTGTTTTTCATTTCCTCTTTATCAGATGTGGCATTTTTTTTTCTTCTTCTAAGATTCAAGGTTGTTAATTCTCAGCTAGAAATTTAAGACTTTCTAAAATTTAGCTTGTGCTTTTGAATTTCAGGAGAAATGAATCCTAATTTAAGAAAATGCTCACTGAAGAGACCATTATAAATCCCCAACACTTGGGTTTGATGATCCTTATATCTCTTCTACATAATCCTAAAATAAACATTTGGATACAGTGTATGATACTTACACAGGTAAAAAGTATCAAACATGCAATAGTAGTATTTCACTCTGTTGTGAAACCTGCTTTACTGTGACACAGTGACATCCATTGTGGTGGAGCTCCCACTGCTGTTTGTGGATGGAGAGGACTCTCAGAGGGTACTGTTTTCCTTTTAATCTGGTATGAATCAATATCTGGATATTACCATTCTTACTAAATCATGAGGATAAAAGAGTGTAGAATGGAATAAAGTCTCCTGTATCTACATGCTTTAAATGCAGGAGGCCCTTGTAACATAATTGCCTATAGTCAACCACTGGATCTCAATTTGTATCAAGTATTTTAAATCTGAATTTTAAAAGATGTATTGCAGTAGTATGTCAGTACCTTATTATTAAACTGAATCAGATAAATAAATCTTCACTTCCTGGTTATTTGGGCCAATCATCATGGACTGTATAATACAATCAGATTATATTATTTCTAGACATCCTTGAATTACACCAAAGAACCTGAAATTTAATTTTGGTTAAGTTATTTATTTATTTCATGTATTCGTTTTATTTCCCTTTTTAAGGTCTGAATGAGACTTCTTTGGGAAGCTTCTAAAACTCTTCATTATAGGCTATGTGGGGGGCATTAGAAGCCTGAACACTCCTCCTTAGGGACTCCTTCCCAGTGTCTAGAGGTGCTGTAGGAATATATCTAGCCAGGAGCTTCCCTAAGGCAGTGCGTAGCCGGGCAGAGGGGCAGGCCCTAATTACATTTTTTTTTTTTTAAATAGCTATGTATTTATTTTAAAATCATGTTTTTCTGTTTGTTAACTTGGAGAATATCAGCTAATATTTAGGATACAAAATTTGAGGTCAGCCATCTCCCCCCAAAAAAGAAAAAAAGTCCTGACTTAAGAAAGTACAAGTAAATTATACATCTTTTTTGTTTTTCATGAGTTTTAGGAACTCTAAATAAAATAGGGCTTACAAAGTATAATAGTCTACGTGTTTTCAAAATGTAAGTTCACGTGGAAAAGAATTTTGTTTATGTGTGGGGGAGGGAACCCTATAGGTTTAAAATAGCCAACTGATTTAAAAGGCCTTGAACTATTGTTTTGATTTTGAACTCACCCTTCTCTTCCTGAGGAATAACTGAGAGGGGATACTTGTTTGTGTAAAATCTCCAAATTGGTGGTGTTGACTTTTGAGCTTGAACATTTTCAGATCTGATTAAAACTTGGTTTATTATTATTTCTGTATCAAAAGAGGTTTAAGTGGTAATTAGTCTTATAATATGTATGTATCATATGTTTGTTCTTCTACAGCTTTTTAATTCAAATAAAAATGGAGTTTGCAAAGTGATTTGGATTAACCAGGTTTGGTTGTTCTGTTAAGCTTGTGTCCAATGTTAGTTTCAAGTGAGTTTAATTCCCACAAACTTTGATTTTTATGCTGTCAAGGATACGACTGAGATTTGAAGGGAAGAGAGCTGAAAGAGGAGGTGAAATTTGTGCCCAGGTTCTGGCTCAGGGCTCAGGCTGCATTAGCATGAAAGGGGAATATAGTCAAGACTATAGCCCATTGTGCCCCTTGCCACATCTCTCAGGCTGGCAAAGAACTCCAAACATGTCCTCAGAATGGGCAGACATACAAGCTGAAGTTAAAAATGAAGAGTTACTAATGGCAAAAGGTAAGGAAAGCATATCCTGTATCATACAGCATTATAACTTGATAGTCAACTGTTTGTGGCCAGAAGAGACAATTGGCCCAGGATTGTCTCTGACATGCTTCTAAGCTCTTAAAACATTATCATGTTTTTAATAGAAAGTGTTGGTAAAATCAACCAACTGTTTTCCTCTAATATCACTTTGCAAATCCCTGTGGTTCTATTCTCCTAGAAGTTTAGACTATCGTGCCATCTGCACTCATGAGCATATTTTGAATAACTGATGTATAAATACTCCAGCAGAATATAGTAAGCAAACATATTATGCTATTACTGTTCTTTTTTAGTTTGTAAGTGTGGTAGGTCAGCCAAGTGAAAGTGCTGAAGCTTTATAAAATATTTCTAGCCCCAAGTTGTAGTTATTTGTCTTATTATACAAAGACATCTTTTAAAAGATTCTTGCCACATAACAGATGTGGCAAAAAAAATTCCAATTTTAACATGCTTATGTGAAGACTAAGAACTGATAACTTCTTTACTTGGAAATTACTTCAGAAAATACGGTCCAAGAGTGTATGTTATTTTTTTTAAAGTTTAATGCCATGTGAAAACTCACAAAAAAGATTGGCCTGATTAAGTTTTAACATTAAAAATTTAGTCAAGACTTCTAAAATCAGACTGCTAGACGAGCAAGGTAGCAGCCCTCAGTTACCTGTGTGTTTAACTTAGGTATTTTCCTTATTGGGTCAGATGGCAAATGTGAAGCTTCAAAGTCCAGTCTATCCCCACCACTACAGTATAGATTCTAGCAATTAATGCTAATCATATTTTTGTCACTCTAGAGTATATATTGTGGTGTGCTTAAATTTGGGTTAAATTTTTTTGTTTTGTCTTGCCACACTAAGGGGGCACTATAACCTGCACTATAACCTGTAAGCAGCTTATAAAATTATTACATTTCTTTTCACTTTCAATTAAGTTCCTTTAGTAGTACAAATGTATGATTAAGGCAAAGTCATATTCCATATTAGTAAATTAAAAAATTTTTTTTTGAGGCTGAGGCCTCCCTGGTGGTGCAGGGGTTAAAGTCTTAGCACTGTCAAGCTATCACTAACAGCAGTGGCATGAGTTCCATCCTCAGCCAGGGAGGTGACCCACATGGCGCAGCAGACTCTCCTCACCTGCTGCTCCCCTCAGCAGTTTATTTCAGTAGATCTGCCTGTTTTGCTCCCCACTCTTGTCTGTGGTAAATTCTCTTACTCCCCACACCTCTGACTACACCTCAGTTTTTATATGTATAAATAAATCTTTTTTAAAAAATGTTTTTGAGGCAAAGTTTAAAAGGTTGTACCTTAGTAGATTAATTTCTTAATCTGTCGTCTATATTAACATGCTCTGAAAATGTCTTGAGTTTGTCCTAATATCTTCAAAGATTTGTTTCCTTCAATAAGGATTCAAATGTTGTCGTTTTTGTAACCAAAAAGAAAAAACTCCAGGAAAGAACTGATTAAATTTAGGATAAGGATAGTGATTCTCTGCAGTGCAGGCAGCAAGGTAGGCTAGGGAAGGAACCCACAGCAGACACAGGTTTCCTGAGGTTTTATTATAGCATTCACTACTATTTTTTGTAAAAGGTGTGTTATATTTTTTTCTGTGTCTATTGAATACTATTTGTAAAACTTGAAGGAAAACATGGAATAAGGCCAGACAATTGGGACAATTTCTTTATAGCAGTCTAATTGTCACTAAAATACCTGTTAAGTTAGGTTTACCAGGAACTCTTTAAGTGGTAAGTGCTGTTAGTCATGTCTGTGCAGTGAGTGGCTCTAGAGTTTGCTTTAATGAGATCTAAGTACTCAGTAGCTCTTTATTTAGATGAAAAGGATTTTTAAATAAATGGACTTAGAAAAAAATTCATAGAAAATTTTAGGAAGAGACCGTTAATTTTAAGATATCTTGTGGCCTTAAGTTTTATCTGCTGCTTTATTCAAGAGCAATAGTTAGAAACTATTTTGAAACTTAGTCTTCTTTAATGTAGACATCTTCTTGTTTGAAGTTATGTTGGATCTAGGCCTGGAAAGATGCCTTTTCTTTTATTACCAGGTGACCCAAAGTTATTTTGGGGCAAATTGTAAAATCTGTCCCAACAGTGAGCCTCTGATTTAGCTTTAGTCTCTGGTTGCTGTTCACTGTAAAGTTCACTTTCTTATGGAACAAATGATATATTTATATTTAGCAGCAAGATGAAAGCAACATCATCAGAAAGAGGTATGAAGCCTGATGCTCCCTAATCCTCATGGAGGGCCAGCCCTTGTATGTTACTGGAGCCAGGTAAGGGAAGAGTTAATTGTATTGTCACAAGAGCACCTAACATAACTTGTCAGTCAGAAATTCCCACCACCCTAATAAAATGTTTACAAATTAGTAGCGACAGATGTGTAACTAGTATGACTGTCCTGATTTAAATGTCTTGCAGTAGAGATCTTTTATGTCCACTACTAAATCTGAATTCTGCAAAAAAAGTGGATCAGGTTATCATTTGTTGCCTAAAAACAAGTTAACAAACAGTTGACACTGAAAAGCATCCTGATTGATTCTTCAATTGTTCAAAATATGTTTCACAGATTAGATTCATTGGGCAGATGGGTTTTGGAAGGAAATAATTTTCGCTCAAGTGCTGTCCAAGAATAATTTGTGAAGTATTCAAGCAGAGAGGAAAATTAAAATATTCTTCACAAAGGCATTTGTGTATAAGAACAAAATAATCTTAATGGTGTTGGAACCAGTAGTAAAATTTCATAGTTACTTTATTGACTGCTGAAGTTCAATCTCTGATGCATCTTCCAGCCTTTTCTGGTATTGTCTCTCTGAGGCTTTTCTACGGTAGACATCATCTGTATCAAACAAATGAATTATAATTTTAAGGAAAAAGAAATAGATCTGAGTAATGTAACCAATAATCTGTCACCTATTTTTCAGTCAACATGAATGTTCAACTTAATACCAAAATAAACTTAAAACAAAAGTTAAACTGTGTTAAGAGTTCTAGACTTAAAGAGCAGGGTATGAATTGATATCTTCAAAGATAAGATCTTGTCTTGTCATGCATCTTGGTAATGTTCTAAGACCTCTCTCACTTCCATTCCCCCCACAATTCCTATTCTGCCCTCTGAAGGAGTAATATTCTGCTCTGACCACATCTACTACCTTTCTAACCCTCCTATCATTGGACCTCCTCCAACTAACCCACATCTTTGGTCCTGAATTCCTGCCCCGCCAGCCCCTTCTTGTTCTTTATGCCCAAACCAGCTGAAATTCCCTCTTCTATCAATATCAACTTAATGACAAAACCCCAACTACAGAGTCATCTGCCTCCCTCGATGCCTCACCCTGCTTGCTTTTTTTGCACTGCAGGGTCAACTGATATATCTATGTCCACTGTAATGCCTAACAACCCAGTATCTTCAGTCATGACCCTGACTGTTTACCCAACCCCAGATGGACATAATTTTCTCCACAGAAAGCACCAAGAGTAAAGAACTCTTCATGAATTCTACCTTCTCAAGGTCTATAGTATAATCTCCAACCTCTACTCATCCCCTCTTTGCTGAACAGCATCAGCATTATCTTCAAGTGGGAAGTGAGGAGATGGAGGGCTAGCTTCTTCACAGAGTCAAACTGACAAACCTCTTCTGTGATAATCTTCCTGGTTTCCTTCCTTGCCTCTCTCAGTCACCCTGGGGCTTGACTTGACACCTTCATTGCATTCTACTTGTTAACAGATCCCCAACCTCAGATCTGTGGCTCAGATTTGCTTTCTTGGCTTCAGATCTCTATAGCCATCTTGACCTCAGCACATTAAAAATGTTGAGTCCCTGCCTATGTTCCCCTGCCCCAGCTGTGCTACCAGAAGGCTCTGCTCATCTCCTATGTTCATATGCCAAGCTCTATCAGTACTACCTCTGGAGTGTCTCTCAGCTCACTTCTTGGCATCATTTATATCCCCACCCTAGGCGATGCTACCATCTCAGACCTGGACAGTCACACCAGCTGAGTTCCTGCCATTTTCTACATGCTAATTCATTGCACTTAAAACCCTTCAGTTCTTTGAAATAAATTTTTGGTTCTCCAGTCCTTTTACAGCCCCCCTCAAGTAACTTTCTAACTTTACCTCTCCCTCGACTTGCTTTAGTCCCTCAAACAATTTTACTCCTTATCTCCCCTTACCACTTGATGACAAAACTCCATAAACCTTACCTCATTTGGCTGATACCTACTCAGTCTTCAGGTCCTATATGACATGATAACTTCTGCTGGATGGAAGTCTACACCAACTAGTACAACTGAGGCATCCCAACACAAACACCTATGCTTTTCCCCATCCCTGACCCCTGTACACTTTCAGAGCATGATCACACATAGGAATTGTCTTTATGATCTCTCCTCCCATTAAAGTTCTTTTGGGGTTAAGGATTCTTTGTCTTGCTTATTAAGTATTCTATTAGTGCTTACTAAATATTGAAGAATGGATGAACAGAACTAAATAGAAAGTACTAGCAGTTTTTTTAATGAGGGTTGGCAGTTCGACCCTCAGTTATACCTGTTTCAGAAGGACAAAGAAGAAAGGGGCAACGGGTTGGGAAATCACTAGCCTAGACCCTCCCTGGTGGCACCACAGGTTAAAGCGCTGCACTGCAAGTGAGCTGCAGCCTCTTCACTGTGAGTTCGATCCCCGCCCCAGAGGTGACCCATATGACACAGCAAACCTCCCCTGACCGGCCTGCTGCCCCACTCAGCAGTGTACTTAATTACATCTGCTGTTCTGCTCCCCACTCTGTCTCTGGTGAATCCTCTCGTTGTCCCTGCACCTCTGGTTTTACCCCAGTTCTGTATGCATAAATAAATAAATCTTTTAAAAAAATAAATAAAGGAAGACGAGGAACTAGCCAATACTGAGCTACTCCTCACAAAGCAATGTCAAACCTCACAGTGCTGGTAGTGCAAGTGACTGCGCTGTAAAGACAGTGAAAATCAACTAAGCCAAGCTGACCCTAGAGGTTCTTGACTGAAGAATACAGTCCACTTAGCAGAAGCGTATATGACTCTTTAGGGTGGATGACTCTTTAGGGTCCCATCCACTTCGCTGAAAGTAGAGGCAAGAGAGCAGAGCTGCCTCAGAGGAAGTCACGTGCCCTCCTAAGTGCAAAGGTTTCAAGGTTGGGCACCAAAGTGACTATTAAGTCGTCCCCTTACAAGAGAGCAGGGGTTGGTTATGTAAGTGGAAATGCACTTGCCCTTCTGTCCAAGGTAAAACAGTGCAGAGCTGGGCTTAACTCCTACAAGGTAAAAAGTAGCTGGGGGGTGGGGGTTTGGGGGTGAAGGAAGGGGAGTGCGGAATAGCTCCCAGGGGATTGGGTCCCTCCCAGCCTCAGACCTTCCTGAAAAGTAACGGAGGCCGTTGCACCCTCCCAACCACACACACACACCCTCACTTACAGAAAGTCTCCTGGCCCACGCGCACTTTAATCATGATCCACTCCATCGTTCCTCCCAGGACAAAGAAGAAGGGCAGGAACCTGTAGACGCCGAGTCGCTGCTTCCCGGGAACCCACTGCAGAACCCGCCTCACCTGGGCCCGAGAAAACATGCTCCAACGAGGTCGTGGAGAAGGGGAACGGTGGAAGCCGGCACGATGGGCGTTACACAGCCCCTGGACTAGAGAGCCTGGGTAACACCGTCCCTGTCGCGTCGGGCAGCCTGAGCACTGTGGACCCCAGGCCTGCGCCACCGCCAGGCGGCGGCTCCACCAATCGGAGTGCGGCAAAGCGCGCGTGCTCCGTGAGACTCGCCAGCCCAACCCGACCGAGTTGGCGCCGACCGCGGGGTCCTGGAGGCGGGGCGGCGCCCAGGAGGCGGGGCCTCCACGTGGCGACCATCCTTCCCAGGCTCCCCGACCCCCGCCTCCGTGGGGCAGCCTAACAGAGTTGGCCGCCGCGCCCCCTACACTGCCACCGCCATCTTTTTGCTTAAGGTCCTGATAGAAATAGTGACCCTCTGTTGGACGGAACGTGTACTGCACCACATATTAAAATGCAATCACTGGACGTCTTATCTTCGGGGTCGTGATTGGTGACATTTCTAAAACTAACAGAATTTGATAGGTATTTTGCACTGCTGAAAGTTGAACTTTATCATTACCGCAACAAAAGTTTAATGTATCTGTGACAAGCAAGCAACTCTAAAACTATAAAAACTGTCCCGTATGGGGCACTTAAAGTTACACAGAGACGTGTAGGTGCCTTTTATGTATCATCATCTTATTCACGATATCGCAGGAGAGGAGAGTTAAAGTGCATGGGCTTTGCTCTGTCAGTCTATACCCCTGCTCCACACATATTTGCTTAGCTAGTCTGTGGCTCAATTCCCGAGTCTACAAAACCGAGACCTTTTTTTATGGGGAAGGAGGGAGGGATGTAGTGAGATAATGCCCAAAAAGCACTTAACATTACGTAGAACATAGCAACTAATCAATTAACAAAAGCTAAAATAATAATATGATCATAATCTATTATGCCCTAATTCTTTACATTTTCCTCAACCTAAGAATCTTGCTTTGATTTTTATGATCTCTTTTTTATAGACGGGAGGAACCTGAGAAATTAAGAAGCACAAGAAGTTAAAAAATTAAGCAGCATAGCTTTATTTACAATCAGAAAGACATGGAATCAACCCAAATGCCCAAAAGAATATGACTAGATTAAAAAGATGTAGTACATATACACAATGGAATATTACTCAGCAACAACAACAAAAAAAAACATGCCTTTTGCAGCAACATGGATGGAGCTGGAAAGGATCATGCTTAGTGAAATAAGCCAGAAAGAAAAGGAAACATACCAGATGGTTTCATTCATAGCAGGAGTATAAAGGACCAGGGGAGAAAATAATAACAATAATGAACAACTATATACCAGAGACATTTTACAGAAGTGAAGTGGTGAATAGGATCAAAACCTGGAGGGGGGCGGGGGAAGTGCACTGGACTGTGGCGATGGCACACAGGTGATTTGATGATGGGAAGCCCACGGGGATTACAACTGAGATGGAAAAAGGCAAAAAAAAAAAAAAAGGCCAAAATGATGTAAAAGTAAACTTTTTGTTTTTAATTAAGCAGCATATTGACTCCAAAGACTTCACCCTTTGTGAGTTGCCCTGATTGCTGAAGATATCTGTAAGGAGCTGTTGCCTCATACCTAAAAATACAACTGGAGAACAGCTTTGAAAAGACACTACTACACTACACAAGCCAAAAAAGTCAAATGGAAAACTTCAAGCCAAGAGTACAGTAGTGCGCACAAGCGTTCACAAACAAGCTGGAGAGGAGAGAAAGCACGCAGGACCTGGAGTCTGTAGTAAGGTCTGTCGTCGAGCCACGGACGCCTGCCTTCTGGCCCAATGCCATCCGAGTGCACCTGCTTGGCCTCGCCCTCATTTGCCCTCATTTCTGTTCGTGGCTCTGAGGACCAGACTTCGCAGTGTCCAACTTCCACCCAGAAGATGTTTGCCTACCTGTTGCTAGCTCCCCAACGTCTCTGTCACAGAGGTTCGGGGGTGCACAACCCTTCTCCCCCCTTCACCTCCTCCCAACACACACACAAACACTGGGCCCATCCTTCAGCTTCCATCCCGCACCTGCACCAGCACCTGGCCCAGGGTTTGGTATATCATAGGTCTTCTGACAAGGTGCAGTGAATGACTCTAAGCCCAGTGCACCCTGTGGGGGGCCAGCTTCCCATCGACCTGCTGGGAAGCACACAGACTCAGACAAAGGGCCTGAGTGAATAGAAGACACGCAGGTGAAGAGTAGGCTCCAAGTGGGAAGGGGAAATTTTCGTTGCAAGTCCTGGCATCCTTGCTAGAAGGGACCGCGACATCTTGAGGGGATGTGCGCAGGAAGAAAGTAGTGGGGCGGGTGGGTGCGGCCATTCCCTGAGGCAGAATACGGCAGTCGCAGAGAACCCCGGGCCCGCACACGGAGGCCCAGCCATTCTGCCCGAGTTAAAAGAGATCGCCTGTGCTAGAAGGGCTCCACCTGTGTGAGGAAGAGGGCAGAGGCTGCTTCGCCTACGGGTCTCGGGGTCTCACTCAGCTTGGGACTGGCACCGGGGAACCCTCGGGAAGGGCCCGTATTGCCTAACTCAGCGAGTGGGACGGCTCGGGCTCTGCTCTGCCGGCAGCCAGTGGCCAGTGACCGGGAACTGGACGCCGCAGCAGAACTGGGGGGAGGGGCAAAGGCTTTGCAAAGGTGAAGAAAGGGGCGGAAGCGAAGGAGACCCAGGGGTCCGGGTGGACCCGTTGCACGTCGGCTTTCTCCTCTCCGCGCCCCAACCGTCCGGAGCCTCGCAGATACGGTCGCCCCGAGGCCCTTAGACCTCCAGAGCAACAGTAAGAGCCGCCATCGCCGCTGAGGCTACCGAAGGGGGCGCCGAGTCCTCAAGCGCGCCGAGACTGGGGGAAGGGGCTCGCCCCACCCTGTCCCGGGACCTCCCGCCCCCGGGGCCGAGGGGCGCGCCCATTGGCCGGCCGGGCTCCTCGCGCCGTACCCATTGGCCCGCTGCTGTGAGGAGCATGCGGCCACCGTGGCGGGCGCGCAGTCGGAGGGCGACTGACTGGCCGGCGGGCTGAGGGCTGCACTGGCAGCGCGCGGCGGGCATGGCGGGTGCGGGGTTGCGGGCGGCCGCTCGGCGCTGGTTGCCGTGCGGAGGCCATGGAGGGCCGCGAGCCGCCTCGTCCTCCCCCTCCTGCCCTGGCTGCGGCCCCCCGGGCCCCGGAGCCCACTGCCCGGGCGCTTCCCGCTCGGCGCCCTCCCCGGCGTCCGCTGGCGGCGCGGAGCCCAGCGCGCACCTGTGGGCTCGTTACCAGGACATGCGAAGACTGGTGCACGGTGGGTGAGCCGAAGTGGGGCGGGCGCCGCGGGGTGTACCTCGCGTCGAGGCACCCGCGAGCCGGGGCGACGGACTGGCCGACCGAACGCCAGGGCACCGCCCCCAAGGCGTCTGGGGCGTCGCTCTGTGGGGAGAGCCCGGGACAGGGCTTGCCTGGGCTCCAGAGCGCCTCGGCTCTTTGGGAGGGGCGCCGGGGTCGTCCCAGGGCCTCTCGGGGTGCCCCAGCTCGGGAGGGAGGCTGGGCGGGAGTTTTGTTCCGCGGCCGCGTCTGCACGAGCTCGGCGTCCTGCAGCGGCGGAGGGAATGAGCGGCCCCCGCCTTCTTTGCTCTGGGTCCCGCCCGCCGTGAGGCCTCGGCGGAAACGCCCCCTACCCCTTGTTCTCTTAGGGCCCTTTAGCTGGGGCGGGAGGACCGGAGGGAGACAAAGCGCAGCAGCGGCGGCGGCCAAACCAAACTCCTAGGTTCTCCTCGAGTTAAACTGACTCCGTCCAGACTTCCCAGGCGCCTCCAGGTTCCCCTCTGGAGGTCGGTTCACTCTGAGTCCCGGAGGTAAAGGTTTTGGAAAAAGGAGACCAAGTGGCCCCAGCCCCCTGGAATCCAGAAGGCTTGTTGCTTGCTTAGCCAGGGCACTTTCTCTTGTCCTCTTCCTCTGCGCAATGGGCTGGTGGCTTCTCCAGGGCGCAGGCTGGGACCTCTCAGCTGTGGGTGAGTGTCTGGGCCTCTGCCTCTGCCTCTGCCACAGACAGCTGTGGTTTGGCGCTGACCCAGCCACTGACCAGCTGGATGGCTCTCGACAGGCCACATCTCTCATATCCTTTATATCTTCGGGGGAAAACACAACCCTGCCAAGAAGGGGCAGGAGAAATTCTGGAGGAGCCCCCAGAGTAACATGGCTTTCGTTGACTGAGAAGACAAAGTGGCCAGTTTGAAAGATTCCAGCTGACTGAAAGGGGGCCTTCCATGCCAGCTGTGTAGAGACCTAGTGGCCAGCATGCCCTTCTTGAGAAGCTGAAGGCAAAAAACTCAGGACCTCTATCCAGCCCCCACGCTCAATGGAGGGGTAGCTCTGGGTGCTAATCAAGGGGATAATGGCTTGGGCCTGGAGAAAGCCTGGCGGAGCAACCTGAGAAGCCTGCTTGGCGCTTGGGGGGAGGTGCATGGATTGTTTTGTGCTTTTTGCCACTCAGGACTCACTAGATCTTCACAGAGACCCCCAAACTCTTGATGTAAAAGGGATATGGTCATTTCCAAGCGACCAGGATGAGTCACCCTTGTATGCCTAGGTCCCCTTCTGGTGTGAGCTTTTTAGGGGGTACATCTGGGCACTAGTCTTGGGCTCAGGCCCATAGGCAAAACTTTCCCAGGGAGCCAGGCCTCAGGCCAGCCCCTGCCACAGCAATAGTGTGGAACACTAAGCTGAGGGGCAGAGTGGTTATGAAAGGTGGGGTGACCAGATTTCAAATCTCAATTCCACTGCTACTGCTGGATGATTTGGAACAAGTGACCGCACCTCCCTAAACCCTAAACCCATTGTTCCTCTGGACTGTGGAGCAGTAAGTGTGGCTACCTCACAAGACCAGAGTGCGGCTTGAATAAGATGAGCCTGGGGGCCTACCACATACTGCCCCAAGAGTCCCGTGGTCTCCAAAACCTCAGGATCGTGGGGAGGACAAGGCCCAGCACCAGTAAGGAACATGTCTGGGACTCATGTTTCCAGGAGCAGCTGCTCTGTGTTACAGCCACTAGAGGAACCAGACACACCTGTTCCCACCACACCCTGCACTTGGCTCCAAAAGAAAGGG